ACTAATAATAATAATAATAATTAAAAAAAAAGGTTTTGTCATCTCATGTCTTGCAGTCAGAATAATAAAAACAAGCCAAATGTCCCCCAAAAACATGTCAATGAAGGGGTGCGGAAAAAAGACATCCCTTTAATAAAACATTATCAACAAATATCGTACACAAACTACAATGTAGAATAATTATTTTTTTTTTCTTATTGTTTTTTCCCCTCTGGGTAATTTTTCGAACCAGACTACAAGGTAAGAAAAAACACTGAAACAAGATACAATGCTTTCAATAATCCGCACAAAGGGCAAATCCAAGGGAAGAGAGTATTTTACAGAATATGATATACATGGAGCAGAAACGGGAGCTGGAGAAAAAAGCAAAGACCAAACTACAGGGTAAGTGTCATGTACAGAGATCCCAACCCGCCGCCTTGGCTCGTGTCCCTTCCTCTCCCACCAGAAGGAAGGGCCTTCGATGCTTGCCATTAGTTTTTATTTCCTTGTTACAGAGCGAGCCTACAGAATAGCAAGGTTACATCTTAACAACAAGAATTCCTTAAAAAATATCTCCATCCAGTTCCAAATCATAGAGAAGTGAAACCTTGACAAGAGCACATCTCTAAAGAAAAGAATACCACCCTCCCCCCGCCAAAATACCCTCAAAGCAAATAAACCCCCCCCAAAGTTAGCTGGAGATCACAGTTTCCAAGTCCCAGGTCAGATTAACCCTTTTCTTTCGGTGGATTTAAGACAAAAATCATAACAGAAATCAATTGTTTGCAATGAACCAGCTGGAGGGCTCTGGGGAAGGGAGGGACAGAGATTTCTTCTTGTACTCAGAGAAGGGGGGAAAGACTAACACAGTGCATGCCACAGTCACAGAGAGCAAGATCACGATTCATTCGAGGATGTGATCCTAGAAGGGGTCACCTGCGTTAACAAAGAACGAGGTGGTGGAGTCTCTTCCCCAAAGCAGATCTTGTTAACTGGAGGAGGAAGCGTTGTGCTGCAAAACGAACCAAAAACCAAAGCCCCCAAACCAAACCAAAAACAGAAGGGGAAAAAGAAAACCACCCCAAAACACAACCAAAAACAGGCCTTCTGAACGAAAACCACCGTTGTAAACTGTCCAGTTTATTTAAAATAAAAAAAAAAAAAAAGAAAAAAAAGAAATAATAATGACTACAACAGAGACAACATGAGATTTCTTATCTAGACTAGCTTCCTGGTGTCGCACGGCACAAACATACAACAGGTTCGGTTTCTGTCTTTATTTAAAAGAACAAAGCAAAGAGATCGGAGTTGGGTGCTAGAGGCTTCCGTTTGTTTCCAAAAAGAAGTGACATGTAAATATATAAACCCTTCTGCACACAGAAAAACCCTTCTGCACAAAGAAGGGTCTTGTCATGTCTTGAAATATTTTAAGTTTTGTCCTTCATGTTTTATGGAATAAAAAGTTCAGCCTTTTTATTGCATGAAACTAAACCTGGGGTTTTGTCCCCCGCCACGCGTGTCCCTGCCCATACACCTAGCTTCTTCTTCTTCTTCTTCTTGCATAATTCGTTGAGATCCTCCGAACGGCAGCTGACTCTCTTGATCCTGGAGAGGAGGAGGGGGAGGGAAATCACACACTCATCGTCATGCTGGGGGAATACTGGAAGAGAGACAGAGCCAGGGTGAGAAACCAGCTGGGCCAGACCCCCAGACATCAAAGGGGGATGCCAGAGGATGGCTGATGACAACTACACAGCAACTTAGTTGGATCCAATAAATCAGGAGGAGAGGGTATGCTGGAGGCTTGTATTTATCAGGGTATAATCTGCTCTGTAACATGCTTTTCCAGGGATACAAATCAGCAGAACAGTATGGGGTGAGATGCAATTAAAAACAAATAATTAACATGCACACGTGTATATGCTGCTAATAGAGGAAGAGGAGGAGGGATGTCTGCAGCCACGCACAGCGCCTTGAATCAGGCAGGCCAACATAGCTGGCTGCATCTGCACCATCTCCTCTCCATCCTGTGGGATCCTCTCCCCTCCACCTGTACAGCCTCATCCCACCAAGGACCCAAACTTGCACCCACCGGTCTGTTTCTCCTCCCCACTTTCTGTCCTGAAGCAGCTCACAGGTCCATAAGACACCGACCACCAAGCCCACCCGCCCCTGTGCCACCCCGGGGACCATCCCACCATCCCCTTCACAGGGGAGGCCCTCACTCACATTGTCATTTTGGAAGGAATGGAGAAAGTTGCCTCCCAGCTCCCCGTCGTCTCTTGGAGTGCCCGGGGGATTGCTAATGCCACTTATGTTGTTTGGAGAATTCTGCAGGAGATGGAGAAGGGAGGCAGTGAGCAGGGCCCTGTACCCCCCGAAACACCATGGGGGATGGACACAGCCCCACCTGCCCCAGCCATGTTCCCCCAAAGTGTTCCCATCCATTGGGATCACACCAGCACCCCAGGGCTGAGAAAAGGGCACACATACACCCACTGCAGCTCACTTACTTTTGGAAGTCCATCTATGTCTCCTGACCCTGTATAGTGGGGGACACAAAAGGAGAACAGCATTACTGACAATGCAGTGATGGTCCCCGTGCCCCCCCTGCCCTTCTCCCCCCTGGATCCCTGTCTGATTTCCAGCCCAATCAGCTCTGAACTGATCTGGGGGCACTGAACCGGGGGCTGTCAGGATGGGAGCAGGCACTGGGATGCTCTGCAGCCCCTCGTGTGGGTGCTCACCTAACGATCCGTTCATGTGATGGGGCTCCATGCCACCCATGCCGCCCATGGGGCCGTCAGAGCCGGGGCCCATCGGGAACTGTGGAGGAAGAAGGGGATAAACCCAAAATCAGCCACAAAACCACCCTGCACTTCTGCCGTGGCCCCGGTGGCTCCTGGGGACCATCCCCATCCCAGCCGTCCCTCTGGAGCGGGGTGAGAGGAGGGACACATCCACCCCCCGAGGCTGTGGGCACATCTGGGAGGTCATGGTATATAAATCATGGAATACCAGGTTGGAAGGGACCTCAAGGATCATCTGGCCCAACCTTTCTTGGCCAAAGAATGGTCTGGACAACACGACCCAGCTCCTTGTCCAGCTCCATCTTAACAAGCAGAATTTGGCCAGAAGACCCATGGCAATGCAAAGGGCTCCTTCCAACCAACGTTTAAGGAGACTTAAATCCTCTTGTATCCCCCATAACACAGCAGCTCTCCGGGCACGCAGCTGCCACCACCTTGGCTGGAGCAGCAGGACGGCCGCTCTCTTAAATAAGCATAAGAAATGAACAAAGTCGCCCAAGAGTTAATCACTTTTTGATGGTTTGTTTTATTCCTGTTTTGTAACAAATGGCTGAAATCAATTAAACTGCTTTACTCGCAACTGATGAAGTTAATTATGATTTGTTATGGTATCTGATATGTAAATTATTAGAAAGCAGACTTACATTCGATCGACTGCCTGCGGGCGGTACTGGATTAATCATTGTGTAGATGTTGTCACTTGAATTTGTTGAATCTGTGGAACAGTGAAGCCCAGTAAGTCGGGTGATTAATTCATTTCTTAATTAAAACAAACTCATGCCACTTGAACTCATTCTTTTGTATTTTATCACCTAAAATTCCCTCTAAGTACCACCATTTTCTGGCTAATTTGTATTTAATGAAGATCCACAAAGTTTTTAATCACAGAAATTCAACTGTAAAAAATAATTCAAGTCCTGGCTGGGAAGTGTGGGGAGGTAATTCCCAGCTGCGTAGCACTCCTCACGTCCCTGAGCCCTGCAGCACCCAAATCCATAGGGGGGGATAGAGGAACATCCCCAAATGCCATCCTGAAGCCAAGCAGCCCGTGCTGCTCACTCCCCACAAAGGCAAAAGCTACATGAGATAGTTATCGCTGGTTGGGCAGGGGTTGTCCATGCTCGGTGGTGCATCCCTAGGGATGAGGGTTTCCTAGCAAGGAAAGGGACTGGAGAAGGGGGTTTCAGGGGGCTCATACCTGCAGGACTGGGCATGATGGGTGTCCCTGGAGGACCGCCGCCGCCGGGCGGACCCTGCGGAGACACAAAACAGGGGTCAGCCACGCCAACACCAGCATCATCCACCTCCCCATGTCTTCAAATGCCTCCCACAGCTGCACCTTGCACCCCAAACCCAGCCCCACCACAGACACTGATTCCCTGAGCCATAACATCTCTGCACCCCAACAACAGGACGGACAGACGGAGACGGAGGACTCACCACGTATGTACCAGGCGATGAAGAAGAGTATGGGATCTATAGAGAGAAGAGAACCAGGTTCAGCTGCGGGGTGCACGGGGGGCTCCCGAGGGCTGGACCCCAGTGGGCACAGCCAGAAGTCCCCACCGTCCTCCCAGCCCAGCCAGCATGGGGGTCCCAGGGTCCACCAGCCCCAGCTGCACCCCTGGGTTTAGGCTTTAGATGCAGTTCCTGAACACAAGATTGGGGAACGCCCTCTAATTAGCAAGATTCAGCTAATGAGGAGCGACCTCATTTGTGGGATGCTCCCCAAGCCAGGTTGGACAGAGCCTTGGGTGACATGGTCTAGTGGAAGGCGGCCCTGCCCATGGCAGGGGGTTGGAACTGGATGAGCTTAAGGTCCTTTCCAACCCAAACCATGGCTGTATGGTCCTATGATACTCACTGAGTTAGCACTGCTGGGGTTCGGCCACGGTCTCCCGGCTCCCGGCCCCCTGGGGTCAGAATGAAACAGAGGAAAATAAAAGATAAGCTGTGTTTCTATCTGTACAGTCCTGCAAAACCCAACTTGGCACCCAAACATCCCAAGGGATTTGCCTTACATGTTAATTCCAGGCATGCCGGGACCTAGGGAGTTGGGTGGAGGTCTCATGCCGCTGCCGTAGTTCTGCAACAATAACCAAGGGTCAGTCTGCCATAAAGGGAAGGGAAACCAGAGAACACAAGAGAAGGGACCCCCCCCCTGCAACAAACCCAAACCCAAGAGGGTTAGTTTGCAAAAATGAGCTTTAAAAATATCTATTAGATGATGATGATGAATGTGGAGGCAATTAGCAATTGTGTTTATAATAAACCCCAGGAATATGGAAGGGAGCCAGGCTGGGCCCCAAAGTGCCCCCTGGTCTCTGCTGCCACGGTGGTGGAGGGAAAACAGCCTCTTCCCAGCTCCAGGAGACAAGCCTGCTCACAGCCCCCGGGCGCCAGCAGCAGCCCTTTGGGCTTCTCTGTTTGTGCAGGAGAAAACAGAGGCAGGAAGAGAATAGAACAGAAAGCATTGCTTGGGAGGTTATTGCTGCAGCATAAGGATGGGAAAAGGCTGCATGAGCTCCCCTCTGAGATGGAGCATCCCCTGCTCCCAGGGTGACGGCTGGAGCAGGGAAAACCAAGCCAGACTTGTTTTCCCGTTGCTTCCCCTGGAGCGGGTCTGCAGCCGCAGGGAGCAGGCGAGGGCAGACAGCCCCTCGGGGCTCCTCTCCTGGCTTATTCCACCCTGGCTTCGCCTCCAGCTGGGACCAGGAGCCTCAGATCTGCGTCCCTCATCTCCTAAACCCAGCTCTAGTACAAAGCCAAGCCCAAGGCAGTGAAGGAAGAGGAATCCCCTGAATGCCGCGCTCCATTTGGTCTGCTCTGCTCCCTGTGCCCTCTGGGTGATGTGCAGCCAGATTTAGGTCATGCTGCCGCTCCTCCCTTCCCACCTTCCTCCAGCGATGCATCTTTTTGGGCTGTATTTCTGCCATTTAGAGCAAAAATTGCTAGGGCAGGAGGAGGGATGAATGGCCACTTCCTAATTTGAAGCCCCTCGAAGCGCTCCAAGCTCGACTTTAAGAGCAATACTTCAGAGCCATCGATCTCCCCTGGATTTATGGACGCACCGGAGCATGGTGCTCCACTGAGGGCATCGCCAAGTTTGTTTTGTAGAGGCAGAAAAGGGTTTTCCCCAAACAAATTACCGGCAAGTCCTTAATTGACTGAAATTCCAGCCATTTACACTGAATAGCAGCATCAACCCCCCCTTTTTTAAGGAAAAGAAAGCTAAGCGTTTTTAATTGGAGCTGAAAGGCTGGAAAACGAAGCCAGCTGAAAGATGCTCATGGAGGGTGGGGAGGGAACGCAGCTGTGCCGAGCGACCTGGATGCCGGGCTCCGGCAAGACACCGCTGAAACCCAGCGAGCTACAAACACCCTTCACAAGAGGCACTGGCAAACCTAACGCTGGCTTCTGCAGAGCTGAAACTGCGACTATTAAAGGGAAAAAGGCAGCAGGGATCAGCTGTAAGGGATGATTCATCCTTGGTGCGTAATGAGTAGCTGTTGTCAGGATGCCGGGATGTCCTGGCTGGATGCTCTGCAGTCCTCTGGAATAATTTAAGGATGTTTACAAAGGTCCTGACGCAAAGCTTAACGATATAAAAAAGCCCTGGGCATGCAAGGTGTGAGGGGCTGCTGGGCTTGGTTTGGTATGGCACACAGGATATAGTGGCTGCTCTCTTCTCCCAAGTAACAAGTGACAGGACAAGAGGAAACAGCGTCAAGCTGCACAAGGAGAGGTTCAGACTGGGTATTAGGAACAATGTCTTCCCCAAAGGGTGGTCAGGCATTGGAACAGGCTGCCCAGGGCAGTGGTGGTGGAATCACCATCCCTCAAGTGCCCAAAATCCATGTAGAGAGGCCCCCAGAGACAGGGGTTAGTGGTGGCCTTGGCAGTGCTGGGGAACGGTTGGACTCAATGATCTTAAAGGTCTTTTCCAACCCAAGCAGTTCGATGTTATTTCTGGTGGGTGCCTGCACAGGCGCTGGCTCCCGGATGGCTGCAAGGGGGCAGCGCCCGGGGGTGCCAGATTGGGAAGCCCAGCGCTTCTCCAGGGAAAGGCTGCCTTCAAACCCCCCCTCCCCAATGTACGTACACAGGGAACGTCGGAGTCAAAAATAAAGCCCTGAACATTCACAACTCCCGCGGCTCCCGGAGCCGCCGCCATCCCACGCGGCGCTCAACGCGCGCTCGCCGCTTCCAAGTTTCACTGCGAGCTCTGCAAGTGGGAAAGCGAGCAGCCTCCCCCAGGCAAGCGCTGCCGCTCGCCTTGGCACAGGCCACGCTGACAAATGCCATCTTCTTCTTGGGTGCAATCCTCCAGGAAAGGAGGATTTGAAGCACAGCACTGGCGCTATCGGAGGGCTCGTCCGTGGAAGGATGCTCGCGCGGGTTTTATCCCCTTGCCCTAGGGTGAGTCCTGCTGACACGGCCGGGCATCCCTAAGCAGTATCCTCAGGCTGGTGTTAAAAAGAGATGACACAAACTCCCTCTTTTACACAATATTCACTTATCTCAACAGTCTCTGGGGGAAAAACAAAACAAAACTCCAGCGCACCCGCTCGTCTCTTGACAGACTCTGATCCTCGTGCTACAAACTCGACGTAGGCGACGATGCAGAGAGGATAAACCTCCAACCAAAATATGATAATCTGGTTTTGAAGTCTCGTAGAAGGAACAAACAGGAGTGAGTCAACAACAAGCCACTCCGTAAAGTGAATCAATGGAAAAGACGGCATATATTAACCCAGATCTGCTTAATTTCAAGAGTTTACTCCCCTTTCCTGAAATAGAGAGCTCAAGCAGGCAGGCGGAGGGGAAACCTCGCAGGGGAAAGCCTTATTCCCCTGCTAAAGGGATCTTTGCCATTCCTTTTTATTTATTTATTTTTAATGCAAGCCTCCTTTCCCTTTCCTGCTGTTAGGGTCAGAACCATTTCCCAAGCAGGCAGTGTAATGCACTCAAAGGCTGCTCCAGCATGGCACTAAGTGCCATCCCCTTTGAAACAAGGGTAGGAGGGATGTTGCAATACCCTTAATGAGCTCTGAAGACCTCACTCATGTTAAAAGGAGGGATTTCCAGATGCAAGACTAATGTAAAACACATTAACACTAATGGGGGGACAGGGTGTGGGGGGGAACTCCCAGCCCTTTGGGCCTCAAGAGGTTGTTTTGATGAAGCCTGTAAGATGCTCTTTGGTGCTGGGCTTACCTGTGGACCGGGACCCATGGGGCCCATCCCTCGCGGAGGATTCATCCTTTGCATGGGGCCGCCCATATTAGGGTGCCCTGTTGGGAGGAAAGCAGGGGTGTTACATGGCACATCAACCACTCTGTGTCCCAAATTAACAGGGAATGAGGAAGGTTAGCATTCAACCCTCCTCCACTGGGTTTACCTTGCTGTCGCGTGGGATCCATCGAATTGGGCAGCAATGGCTGTGTACCGGGAACAGCGCCCGGGGGCTGTGAAAGCAAGGGAAGGAAGAGTAAAAAACCACAGTAATTGCTAAAATGCAGCCCCCAGAGATAGATTTGGATTGAGGCTTTAGGCTTTCATCGGGCTCCTCAGTGTGCTCCCTTGGATGCACCATCCCTCCTGCTGCAGCATGGCCTGTGGCTGCCCGAGCATCCCACATCCTGCTGCATCCCACTGCATCCCGGTCATATCTTCCTACAGCCTCTGTGTGTTTGCCTCCCCTTTCCTTTCACAAACACCCTCTAAAAAACATGTAAGTCACCAGCGTTTCCTTCTCTCCCCACAGCCTGTGCAACGTCAGGCTGCTGTATTTTATGGAAGCAGGGGGAAGCCCAGGCTGCACGGAGCAGAGGTGTCAAAGCTGGCAGGGAAAGGAGACCAGCAGCGCAGCTCCCAGTATTCACACACCACCAGGTCTCAACCGTACGCATTAAAGTGGGGAGATGCTCCATTTGCAGCAGAACAGCGTTCAGACCTGTCCCCACGCAGGCAGAGGGGAAGGCGGATGCTCCCCCTCCCCAAACCCACGTTTCTGCTCAGCCAACACGCTATTTAAAGTTCAAAGGCTGCTCTGAACAGATAAAGGGGCAGAAAATCGCAGATACCATCTGCCTGGGGGAAGCAAACTGTAAACAGTTTTGCTACAGCACTGCCTTTTATTTGAATGCCGACACAGGATGGATCCCACTGCTGGAGCGGAGCACAGGCACAGGGTGCACATAGCTATGCCAAGGCAGAGCCTGCCCAATCCCTTGTTTTTTGCAGCCTGGAAGCTTGGCAGCAGGAAGAAGATAAACCAGGAGGGGTTGTAGAGATGGGTATTTACACTTGCGCTGCCTGACCTTCCTGCCTGCCTATTTATTCCTCTTGTCCCTCTGGATGTGACCATAACCTTGCTGAGCTCTGCGTAGGTACAAACCTGTTTTTTACACGTGGTGCTTGGGGGGAAAGAATTAAATCCTTCTCATTAACTTTACCCATTCCTGGATGCTTGACCAGCCCCCCCAAACCAGTCTCCTGCCTGCCCCAGCTCACTGTGCTCATGTCCAGCAGAGCTCGGGACGAGCCCAGGACCACAGCAGGATGAGGTCCCATTAAAACTGCCCCGTGAGCAGGTGCAGTCAATTAATACCTCACTAAAACAACCATCAGTGCCCTGGGTGGGAGGCTCTTCCAGCCCAGCCAGGCTTGGGGGTCCTACATCAACCCCCACTGAGTTTTTCTCAGCTCCATCTCAACCGTCTCCCCATCATTTAGCAAGCTCCAGGGATTCAAGTCTCAAATCCAGCAAGCACAAACACGAAGCAAGCTGCTACATCCTATTTCCTGACTATCCCACTCTTACTGCTAATAAGAACTATATAAAAATTATGCTGTTAGCCAAAAAACCAAGCTTCCAAGATAACTTTTTACACAGTGTCCTTTGCTCCTCAAAGGAATTACAGGCTTTCTTTCATGGCAGACAACCCCTGGTTTGGCCATTACCCTATGGATCTACATGGCATCACTAGGAAGGAGATGAATTCCTCACCCAAAGGCCACGCGTTCAGGCAGCGCGTGGGGTGGAAGCCTCTGTCCGTAAGGCCAGAAACAAACTGCCCTTGTTTAAGCTGGGATAAGAGGATAAAACCCAACCCAAAAAATTCAGCAGTGACCTGCCCTGCTTGACCCCGCCGCTGATCCAAGCACTCGCTCGACCCAGCAGCGGGATTATCTCCATTGCTTTAATTTTCTGTGATTGCAGGGAAAATCCATCCGGGCAGCAAGCACGCTGCAAACACCACGAATAAAAAGCAGCCTCTTCCCCACCCTGGATATGCCTGAACCTCAAAATAGCATTAAAATACCATGGTTATGTGACAGCACCAGGAAAACAGAGGATGCCCGATGGAGGTGGTGTGATGCTTGCCATCCCGACCCAACGAGCATCTTCAGGATACCTGTCCTTTGTGTCCCCCCCATCCCAAACAAAAGCAAACCCTAGGAAACCCGCCGGCAGGGAGCACAGTACCTGGTTGCCCATCCTGATGGGGGGCCGGGGACCTCCGGCGTAGCGCGGCGACATGAACGGCTGCGGGGACACAAAAGGGAGGTGAGGGCCGAGCTGCGGGGAGGCAGCACGCTCCCCACGCACGCCGGTTAGACTGTACACACCGTGTTTGTGTGAGTTTGGTGTTTTCTGGAGACATCCTCTTTAAAAAAGGTACAAGTTTCAAAAGGAAAAAAAAATAAAAATTAAAAGAAAAAAGGTGTCCGGAGTCCTTTTTTTTTTTTTAATGGTTTCTCTGTAGGTTTATTGTTTGACATCGGCAATACTAGGTGAGGCTGTTAAAATCAGTGCATGGGAAACCCTGAGTGTTAGGTACTGTTCAGGTTTAAATATATAGAGGTATATAAAAAAAAGTGGCAAATAAGCACATACAGACACGCACACACAAAAAAAACCCCAGTGCTAAGTACTGATAAAAAACCAGAGGAAAGATTTAAAGTTACTTTTTTTTTGCTGCTACTAACAGAAGCTTAAAAACCCACATCAAGTTAAATTTCTCAGGCTACCTTGGGAAGGTAAAACAGTCTGATACCCACGATTGACTTCTCAGTCCATTGACAACTGCACATCCAAAAAAAGGGAAAGAAAAAAAACACCACAAAAAAAGGGGGGAAAAAACCAACATTGTGCTTCAGAGCTGGGATGCCCGGGGGGATGCTCCCCGGGGGAGCGGGTTCCCGCTGCCCAGCATGCTTACAGAGGGGGGGAAGAAAAAGCAAATCGAGCGCACGTCCCAGTTCACAGCCCTACCCATCGCTAGTGTCTTTACCTGACTGTGGGGTCCCATCATGCTGTTAGGATTGTGGGGTGGAGGCTGTGCGTGTGGCGAGGGCTGTGACCCAGGCGGTCCCTGTGAGGTCAGACAGTAGAAGGAGGTTATAGATTAGCACATGAAAGCGCAGAAAAGAGCTAAAAAAAGGATTGACGGGTGGACCTGTTTTGTCAGGGAGTCAGTTCTCCCATTTTTCATCTTTTTTTTTTTTCAATTGAGTTTCTATTCATTTGTAGCTGAACAATGAATAATGAGATATGAAAAAAAAATTAAAAATATATATCCAAAATCAGAACATCTGTCAAAATACAGCAGCCACATCGTAAATAGTCCGGTAGTTCAACCAAGTCTGCAATGAGAAACACAACAGGGAAACACTTTGCAAGGGCGTGCAACCAGGAAGAAAAAAATATACAGGAGAGGACCAAAGAGGTTGGGGAAACACAAAAAACACCCCCAAACCTAAAAAGAAAAAAAATCATTGTTTTCCTCTCTCATCCCAAAGGTTGGAAACACCTCCGTTTTTTTGTGGGGGGGTTGACAGTGGTTCACTGGAGGTGCTGGAGAGGATGAGGAGCAAGTCCCAGCTCGCGCCTGGGCAGCGTTTAACCGGCACAACCGGGGCTGCATCGCCAGGCTGTAGGGATGCAACATCCTTCCTCGAGGTGGATTCCCTAAGGATTCGAGTAAAATGGCTTGCGAGCAAAGAAAGGATGTCTAGGGGTGGGGGAAAAAAGGAGAGATTAGTCGGTGCAGGTTTAAGGCTGCAATGCAGCAGCCGCTGACATTTTGGGCTTGAACACCCACTTTTTTGCTTTTTACTTTAAATTTCCCTTAAAAGCACAGAACGCTTGGAAAAGCCACGAGCTCAGCGCAAGAATATACCGGTGCGTGTTAACATAAAGGGGGGAAAAAAAGGGTTTTTTTTGAGTCAAAGGAGGTGTAATTGGTAGTGAAAGCAAACGAGCTTTGTCAGTAGGTGATGGGAAGCGACGGCAGGCTCCAGGACCAGCGCCGGAGCAGATGTTCTCTACCTGCCTCGTTACTAATTTCAACAAGTGTTCGCCTTCTAGCTGCTGCCAGCAATGGCATGGTTTGTTACCATGAGCAATTTTCTTAATTAACAGACATTAATTAGCCATTTAGCAATTTTGCAAGCATTTGTTTAGCAGCTTTCCTAAACATGAATACCACTGTGATAATGGTACTGATTAGAGGGTCCCCTAATTAACAGTACAGGGAAGGAAAATTGAAATCACATAAATTAAAAAGGGAGGGGAAGTTAATGAAGGCAGGACATATTTGCACCTGCAAATCTTTTGTACAGCGGAAACTTGAGTGCAATGTAAATAAAGTAAGAGGGTGGGTTTTTTTCCTCCTTTTTTTTTTTCCTCCTCTCTTCTTTATTTGAACAGTTTGGTGGCGAGATGGAGCCAAGTGCATTGAAACCAACAGCCTCCTGCCAGCCTCCCTGCTCCAGCCGCTGCGCCTGGGGGAATGAAGTCCCACCACTTACTCTCCAGGAGCTGAAGGCAACCACCTTCTGTCCCTACTGCCCAGGGAGCCTTGGCTGGAAGAGGTCACAGCACTTCTGGTCAATCCTTGCAATGTCGACACAACCGCCTTCTCCATCCACGTCCCACCAGAGCGGAGAAGACAAACCTCTGCAGTCCAACTGCAATATCAACCTGCTTTAGCAGAAATCCTCTTCATGCATGAAACTCAGACTTATTTCTGCTTCTGAGGTGGCTAACGCTGTGCGAATGCAAATGGAACTGGGGCAGCAGCCACCTCCCATCATCAGGTCACGCAGTACAGCGCTCTGGCCACCACCAAAGCCCTTTCTACAAGTTACAGCTGCAGGATTTGTGGTAGAAAAGATCGGCAGATGTGAATGTGTGATGAAACCAGTGGAAGGGAAAAAACAAGACTTGCAGAGGCCAATCAATCTCATCAATGCAAGAGTCAACAGGTCCTCCACAATGCCTGGCTTGCTGTGCTGCAAGAAGGAGGTCACTGTTATCCAGATGCTGACTGAACAGGCACGCAGACTCCATCCTGAAGTTATTAAACCCCTCATTAAACTCCTGATGTCCTCCCTCTTGTACCCCTCCAGCGTGTGAGGGTGTGGGGATAACAGGTATTGAATACATGGCCACCTACATGCACCCCAGCTTGGGCCCAGAGGTGATGCTTTAGGTCTGCATCTGGAGCTTCAGAGCAAGCAGCATTTGGTTACTGCAGAAAAAGCATCTGTATGAGAGAGCAGTGTTTTCACCAGAGAAAAAGCCTCCGTGGCAGCTGGATCCAGAGAGCATCAGTTGTTTGTGCTGCTGAATGCATCCTCCACAGCGTGGTCCTGCCCCGCTGCCCCAGGGATGCTCCTCGGGATGCTCCAGCCTCAGCACCGCAGCATCCTCGCCATTGCTCTATCCCATGCGGTACCACTCCCAGCAGAGACTTCTGGATACCGTGACTGCAGACACCCAGCTTGTGCAAACATCTCGCAGGCAGGGAGGAGCCAAAAGGGGCTTTTTTCTTCTTTTTTTTTTTTGCCCTTTCAATTCTTTTCTTGCTTTTTCAAACCAGCAGCGAGCAGCAGCATCCGAAACACTCGCTCCAGGCTGCAGCCACCGCGGCCCCCTCCCAGCACGGCTGCTCTGCTCCATCAGGAACACAGACCTTCTGGATATTGTTATCTCCATAAATATTTGCAGATGTTTCAGGGCAGGGACCTGTGCTGGGCCGGGAATGCCTGCTGGATCGATTGCTTATTCACACGGGCTTCCCTCGCTGCAGAGGAGGCGGCAGATGATCCTGATGGATCACGGTGGTTGAAACAAGCGTTTTGCAGAGATGCCATGTGGGCTCCAACCAACAGAAGCACCCTTTTCCCTCGAAAAATATGTATTTAGCAGTTATTAACTAGTGCTGTTAGAAGAGGAGGCTGAACGAACGCAGTCCTGCTTCTTCCACATCCCAAATGCTCCAGTCACATCCTCCTCAGAGCTCCATCCAACAGGACCTGCTCTGCAGCTAATCCACTCTCACCTCAAGACCAGCGCTCTCCCCATCATCTCTCAAGTTTTGTTTTCTTCCCCCACCCCAAACTGTATGCTTGCAGGGGGGATTATTCTTCACCTTCTTATATACCTGCCTCAAAAAAAGACCTCAACAACCAACCCCAAACAGCTAAAACAGCATTAGAGGAAACTGTTTCCGACGGCTGTCGGTGCCCCAATCTCTTTTCTGCTTCATGTTTTTCTCCCCTCTACACTATGGGGATGTTAAAAGCCCAACCTGGCCCATCAGACAACCAAAGTTTGCTGCTGCTGCTGCTTTCTACAGGGACTTTCCAGGCGATCAGGTTATTTCCAGTCTGTCTTTCATGAGCTCAACTCCTCAAACTTCTTGTAAAATATTAAAGATGGAAAATGGCACGAGCGATCATAGCTCTGCGTGTGTCAATTTATGTTTCCAGCATAATTCACCACAAATGGATCATGTTTTATGGGCTACATACTTTCAGCTAATGGGGGAGTTTTTCTATTTAAAAACATTTCCAAGCACCTCTGGGGGTGGCAGAACAATGCAGGATGGTACGAGAAGGCAAAGCATTGCTGCCACGAGATACCGACAACTGAGAGTTAGCAATAGGAAGGCATCTTGTGTTCTGAAATACCTGCCCCTGCCTGCTGGCTTTGACATTAGAAAATACTAAATTAAATTAGATGGAGATTAATTACAGATGTGTCCGGGTTTATCAGATGGGAGCCTTATTTCTACCGAAGGAGAGGGAAGTTTTGCAAGTTGTCAACAAAAAAAATAAGGTATCTCTGAAGGAGCCTTTAGGAGAGATGCTCTTGGTGCCTTCAAAGAGGAAGACCATGGTCACCTTCCAGTGCTGGCTGAGGACACAACTGCACCTTCCCAAGAGAGGGCAAGGCAGGGCAAGGCAAGGCAAGGCAAGGCAAGGCAGGACAAAGCAAGGCAAGGCAAGGCAAGGCAAGCAGGGCAAGGCAAGGCAAGGCAAGGCAAGGCAAGGCAGGACAAAGCAAGGCAAGGCAAGGCAAGGCAAGCAGGGCAGGGCAAGGCAAGGCAAGGCAAGGCAAGGCAGGCCAAGTTCCCCCGCAGACAGCGAAAGGCAACCGTGGGCAGGAGCTCTGCCTCGCCTGCAGCTGGGGCTCCCAACTGCAGAAGCCTGGTTTTAAGGAATATGTTTAACACAAGCTCTTCAGGAAACAAACCCGTGTCAGCCAGAGCCAAGAACAGTCACCTCCATCTGGCTGGAGCACCCGAGAGAAAGTTGACTGCAAATCCCACCATATGCTCCAGACGCTCGGTACAAAAGCCTCGGGCATCCTACTAAACTTCCAGAAAAAAAAAACTTTCTCCAATGTTTGCTTTTCCTTTCCTCCAGCTCCTCAGCCACCTTCCTTCAAACCCTGCCTGGTGCATGGCTCATAGAGTTCTGCCCTGGCATTTTGGGAAGGGCAGCCTGGTTTTGTGGCTCAACCGAAAACTGGTTGACCATACTTGGTGGTCACCTATGTTTGACATACCCCGAATGTGGGATGGCAAATCCCACCGAGACATCAGGACAGTCGAGCAGGGGGAAAATGGTGGCATCCAAAGAGGGATCAGGACAACATGGACCCCTTCCTATCGCTCCTGGCTTTACCATCCTCACCCCTATGGGTGATCTTACCCAAAGAGATGTGCTGCGGGATGCAGGGAGGAGAGGCGGGGAGGGCAGGGGATGTCGGGGG